TTCCTGGAGACACTGCTGCACACTCCCCCCCCCCCCCCCTACTTCCAGCGCCCCAGCTCAGACTTCACCCATCTCGGAACTCGGCCTTCGTTTTGATCTCCACTACACAACTGTAAACACCGTGATTGCATCTTGAACGGTTGTGAAGCTAACGTGTTCACAAAATCTGTCCACAGACGGACAACATTATAAACACGTGGCAAAGTGCTCAAAACCACTCTGTTGTAGTTTGCAGCAGTGTCTCCAGGAACACATTGTGCCGTGATGACACCCACACACAAAGACTCAGCAGGGGCTGTGGGGCATTTGATGGTCATATATAGGGTATTTTATTCCTAATTGCATCTTTACTGCGCATGTCCAGCTCTTCCTATCTCTAAAGGATCTACTTCCTTACTTTTTCTGACTCATAATCGGTTGCAATTTGGTGTATTTTGCCCAAACTCAGAGCTGGAGATCAGCGTCCTTCCCCTTTTTTGTTACCATACAAATTAGATTTAGTTTATTGTTGGGTGTAGAGAAAAAAACGTGGAGTTTGAGTCGGTGTGACTCTGCGAGCCACAGTTGTGTTTGGTGTTTGAAATCATTTGTTAGATTTGCAACAGGTCCTCGAGACCTTTTAGGAAACCTAAAACTGCAGCGGCTGATTACGCAACACACATAAAAGCATCCTCTAAAAGCAATCTCATTTGCGGTTCCGAGGCTGCGTTCAGTGCTTCGCTCTGATACCTCGGTTAGGTAATACACCGGCGCTGAGAGTTATATTGGAGGTGACACCCAATCAGGCCTATAAATAGCTTTGCACTTTCCCCCTGGGAGCCCAGCTGTAGCTTTCTCCCAGGCATTTGATCACTTGTTTGTAGGGGACTGACATCACCCACTGCTGCGTTTGTCTCTCTGTCTTTCTGACTCCACAAAACACACACTCACTGGGACATGCGTACCATCGGTAGCTTCACAGTTTGGGAAACAGACTCTCATCGGTTATGATGCTTTTAAAAGGAAGTCACTTCACATGTACTCCTCAGGGTTTCCCTAAACTGCATTCACCTAATCACTTAAATACTCACGAGCAGGCAGGCCCTGAGTAAAGTAAACTCTCTGATACTATAACACTCTTACATAAATAAAACAAGACCATAGGCCTCACAACAAGTGGGCGTATGATGAAAACGAGAAAAAGTTATGCAAAACCCCTGCAGGCTGCGTCTGACCCCAGTGAGTCACTGTCTACACCGGCTTCTCCACAATCGGGAATGACTCAGTGACGAGCACAAACATTTCTGAAGTGCAGTTCTGTAACCGGCTGCAGATGCATGTTGATCCAATTTGGATTTTAATGCTCAGTGTTGAACTGAAACGAACATTGGTGGTTTACAATAGAGCCATTTTTGTACGGTTTTCTGCTGATTTATAAAAACAAAAGAAACTGATTCTGGGGAACAGTGGCGAACACCTCAATTGGTTAATAGAGAACAAATGAAAGGGTTGATGTAAATAAGAATGTCTGATCAATCAAGAATAAAAGTGGCTTTGGGAAACATCTTTCCTACTCTTCTGAACAAATTATGAGTATGCCTATCTGATGCCAAGAAATAACATAAATGTCTATTGTTCGATATCTCCACAGGATTTGACACTAAAACACTGGTTCAACTGTCTACTGGACATATCGTTTCAGAAGATGGCATAGATGTGAACGACTTTGTTCTCACATCGGGTGTTGCAATGTAATTTATTTTGTGTTATTGATTGATGAGCTGCTTGATAAAGGGGGTTTTGGTTGGCAGTGGCACTGTTTAGTGTCCTTCCATAAGACATCTGGTTTCCTCATCAGTAGGCCTACGATATTTCTGCTGTCTGTTATTCAACTACATTTCAGTAACTACAACATCATCAAAGATAAGAAAAAAATCTAACATTGGTTCTATTCTCTTGTCTATTTCTGCATTTTTGATCGTCCACAGTGAATTTACAGCCACGGGGCTATTAATAATTAATGTCAGAAAAAAACAAATCTATTTGCTCCCGTGCCTCTCCGGCGCACGTGTGCACCTGGTGCCATTCGGTTGGTCACTGCATGTGCGTCTCCAATTATCCCTGAGCTGGATTTCAGCGCGCCTTTTGCTTCTAGATCCACATTGAGTTTGAGGGAGCCGTGATCAATGCGGACGACTCAAGAAACTCGCATGTGAATAACTTATGCGGGATGATTGATTTTTTGATTAGCGCAAAGAAAATCAAACAACTGAACACAGACGTTCTCCAATATATAGGAAAGACGGTGTGAGTTTGGGTGTTTTGTGACGAGGACAAGTTGTTCCCAAGTCTCTGGGTGTGATCACCGGCTCTCCACGCACGTGATGAGTAAAACCCATCAGTCATTTCAGTAGGCATGCTGGTCCTCTTCAGTCCCCTACTAGATCTGTCTGATGAGTGGGCCGCCCTCACGTCCCGCATCACTCTGCCACGCTCTCCACCTGCACCTGTCGGACGTTAATGGGCAATAATCGACGCGTTCGGGGAGAGAGAGATGGTGGCGGCTGCTCGGTTCAGCACGCTGGACAGCGCTCGTGGAAGTTGGAGGGGACGCACGCGAATTTAATTGGAAAAAAAGGGCGCCGCTGGAGAGATGAGCGACGGGTGACAATGGTCGATCTGAAGTGCGTGCTACCAACAACAGGCGCAGGTAACCCGAGAGCGGACTTTCTGGAGTGAGACATGGACTTTGCCGAAACCCTTTTCGCTTTGTTCATCGTCGCGGTCGCGCTCGTCTCGCTGTCGTCAAACTTGTTGGTGCTGCTATGTTTCGTCCACAGCGCCGAGATACGCCGACAGGTGCCCGGCGTCTTCACCATGAACCTGTCCTTCTGCAACATCCTCATCACGGTTCTGAACATGCCGGCCACCCTGGTGGGGATTATCAGGGACCAGCAGCCGTTCGGGGACTGCGTGTGCCACACGGTGAGCTTCCTGGAGACCTTCCTGACCGCGAACACCATGCTGAGCATGGCGGCTCTCAGCATAGACCGGTGGATAGCGGTGGTGTTCCCGCTCAGTTACTCCGCTAAGATGCGCTACAAGGACGCGCTGATCATGGTGTGCTACTCCTGGCTGCACTCCTTCACCTTCTCCCTGACGGCGCTGCTCTTCTCCTGGGTCAACTACAACCACGCGTACGCGTCCTGCACCTTGCAGCCGCGCGAGGAAGGCGGCGACCGGATTAAGTTCGCGATCTTCACCGTCGTTTTCCACGCCACCAGTTTCATCCTGTCGCTGCTTATTTTGTGTTTCACCTACTTGAAGGTGCTGAAAGTCGCCAGGTTCCACTGCAAGAGGATTGACATTATCACCATGCAGACTCTTTTCCTGCTGGTCGACATTCACCCGAGGTATAGTTCAACGAATGCTTTTTGCTCAATTATTTATACGCATGCGTTCTTTTCCAACCCACAGGCCTTTTTTTTAAATGTATAATTCACAGTCTAAAAGTCTTCTGCTGTTTTCAGCGTCAAACAAAGATGTTTAGCGGAGCAAAAGAGGAGAAAGCAGAGAGCCACAAAGAAGATCAGCATCTTCATCGGCTCGTTCATCATCTGCTTTGCTCCTTATGTAATCACAAGGTAAGTCGAATTGATACATCTAATTCACTGCAAAACTCCCGTAGAACAACTTAAAAGATTAATGACCCTGTAACAATACATGTAATATATATACATAATCGTATTGTCCCCTATGATACAGATCTGTCACTGCATTAGATCAGATGAGGCACAATTGATGAGGCACAATTGAACACTTGAACACAAATTAGAGTTTCTCCGGAAACAGGTGACTTATACTGAAAAACACACAATACAATGTAGGACAATAAATACAGTTCATACATCTCAGAGAAATAAGGAAATGATTCAGGGGTTGTCAGCCAGATGTGGTGCTGATGATCCATCAGTTTGACATTTGGTTGGGAAGAGGAAGGACACACTAACAAGGACAAAGTGTCTGAGTAACCCCTGACCCTATAGCCACTGGAAGTACCCTGAGCCATCTAATTATGATAATTCATACTCATGCCTCTGTTCTGCTTTTGAAGTAGCATTTATGAACATCAGTTAATGGTAAACGTGTAATATTCTTCACTCTCGGTAACCTTATGCTTTTATTACATTTTTGTTCCGTAACGTTAATTTGCAGATCATGAAGTACTGTACAGCTATAATTGGAGTGTGAAGGGGGCTGAAGTTTATGGTTACATTTTTAAAAAGCCAAAGCCGTCCCCAGTGGTCTTAAACAATTATATTTTAAATACCTAAAAAACAAATAAAACAATGAAATAAATAAATAAACATACATTTTATCATACGTATTAACTTACAATTATGCTCTGAAAAAAATAAAAAGTTTGCCTGCACCTCCCTGTGCAAATAATGATAGTGCTTTGCATTTAATATTGGCAGGTTTAAGCTTTTCTCTGACGCCTACACATTACAAAGTGTGTTGTATTTCGATTCATTTCTTTGTTTTTAAGTATAGCCTTTTGAATCTTCCATACAATTTGTAAAAACTCAAAAGAAGACTAAAATGAATTTCAAGATGCTTTTTAAAACCATCTCCTGCTCTTCAAAAATGCCAGGCTACCCTCCCTTCTGAAAAAAACACATAACCCCCGACCCCCCGCCTGACGTCCCCTTAAAATTGTCTTAACATAAAGTCCCTTATGCGTTTAAAGCCCCATAGGGTCAGCCTTACCTAATTCACTTAGGAGAAAAAAAAAGAGCTCTGACTTAAATGTACTTTGTCTAGTTATGTTTCTGCTGCCGCCCATTCAGGTTGGCCGAGCTCATACCCTTCGTGGACATCAACCGCCACTGGGGAATCATCAGTAAGTGCCTGACATACAGCAAGGCTGCGTCCGACCCCTTTGCCTACTCCCTCCTACGTCAGCAGTACAAGAAGGTCCTGGTTACTGTCGTCAACAGGCTGCTCCGCCGTGACCTGTACCCCTCGTCTGGCCACAACAGCTCTTTAGACACGGAGAACGACTACTGCCTCCAGAGGATCAGCTAATGGCAAACGCGTGGACACGGCAGAGACACACTACAGGCCAAAAATAAAGGTTGCCTCTTGGAAGAAGGTGTGGGCGGAGGAAAAGGACGAGGAGAGAGACAGAGAGGACAGGATATTGTTAGACGGGGAGAAGAGAGCAGAAATAGGGGACAGGTTGTGGGTGGGAGGGGTGAAGAGAGAGCATAAGAAAGGAAGATAGTGGGCGGGGAAGAATGAGAAGACAGTAATGAGGGGGAGGATGAAGCGGTGAAGGAAAGCAGAGATATGGAGCGATGGAGACGTTGGCTTCAGACGGTATTGGCAAACAAGTGATCTGTGATTCATTGGCGATGGGCGGAACACACAAAGCGCACACAGATCAGACACATCAATTCCATCGAATAAGTCACGGGTTCAGATTCATCTACAGGTGAAGGAACACAACAGCTGGACACCGGCTCCTCCTTCTCTTTGAGCCACATGTGTAAAGTGGCCTTTTGTACTCTACCGACCACTTTGTAATGATTTCTGCAAATCCACATGTAGTGACCTTTCCGCCGCTACAAAAACGCAGGGACGGAGGTAGAAGCTGATGGTCGACAGGTGCCGGAGCGAATATGTGAAGAGAAGGAGAGACGATGTTGCTCCTGCTTCTGGATAGCGTACTCTTACTGTACGGAGACTCAACTGCTGCACATTATTGCCATGTTCTGTATCGACCATGTTAGACTACTTTGCAGTGTCATGTCAGTCACTGAATATTGATGCACTTTGTCTAATTCTCTCAGAGCTACTATAGTTACAGGAGCCAAAGGCAAAGAACATTTACACCATGATATTAAATGGTGAGGTTGGTGATATTCCATGTTTTTCTTATTGTCAACAAGTGCAATGAGAAGACCAAACACCAAGTTCCTAAGCCACTTAGTCTGCAAAGCATGCTTGGACACATGTTTATTTAATTAAATCGAACTCCCTCATGATTTAAACCAGCGCTCTCACACCTCCAGGGATAATGTGATTTGAGAGTTTATTTGAAGATTGAGATCTTTGGCTACACTCATGTTAGTAGGATCAATTCATCATTGGTTTTGGTCCTTTCATGGGATTTCTTGAAAGTAAGAAAAACAGAAAATCACCCGACTTCTCCTTTTAAGTGTGAGTTTGAAACTGAATGTAGTAAAGATAGCCCACGTTTGACTGAAAGGTATTTGTACGACTGTGCTTAGTTTTGCCAGTTGACTGGAGAAGATGTTTCTATGGATATTTACAATATATTATTATATATTTTGCATTGTAAAGGAACAACTTTTTGTCTAGATAAAAGGGAAGCAATGTGGTGTAGCATAGGAATGCTTTCAAAGTGCTTTAAACACACCGTTTTGTGTACGTGCCAGATTTGAATATGTGACTTTTTCAGAGGTTCTATACTTTAACCAGAATAGCTGCTTTATTATTAAAAATCTATTTCTTTTGGATGTTCTTTATACACATGTTTTTTCCTCCCCTGTAAGCCTCTTGCTCTTTTTTGGCAGTGATATTAGCTGTAAGTGGAATATGTGCAATAAAAGCTGTCAATTATAAAGCTTTTACAAATATTAATGTTCTCACAGTAATGCCATTGAATCTAGATAATGTCCTTTGATTTAATTTGTAAGTTTGTTAATTAAATTCAAACAGTTAAAGGTCTTGGACACTAAATGACAAATAGTAGGTCTTTTTTTTCAAATCGAGATCAGGATGATGGAAAAATCATCTATTTAATATTTGAAATTGATGGATACAGGTATACTTGAAAGGAATCATAACTTATTGACCGTCATCATGTTTCTGCATCACATTGTTTTGTTTGCATCTGCTTTGTGCCCCTAATTATTTCAAAGATGATATATATGGTGTAAATGTCTCTGTCAGTAGCATTTTTCCCAAGTGTAATTAAAGAGACGGGTCAAAGATCCTTTTTGCCAATTTGTGATTCTGATTTATTCTGCCTCAGACTTAATTGTATGCATGGAAACAGGCCAACAGTAATTATTCGCAGCAAGAAGTGAAGGAATCACCAAAAATACCAACACCTCTGACTTCAAGCGGTTCACACTAAAAGCAGCTCAAGGTGGTACTGAAGCCAGGGTTTGGCAATATTGACACAGCATCTGATTAACCCCAATCATCGGAAACTGCTAAAGGAGACAGTGGTGATTAAAACCGCTCAAATGGAAAATGTATGCATGGAAAAATATGTCACAGCCGCTCAGGTTTTAAAGGGCAACAACTGAGTCAACTGAGTGAGTTTAAAGACTTTCAAACCCACTTAAAACTGCATGTATGTGCACGACAATCTGCACAATACATTGCCGTGGTTATAATTCCTGATTTCTATTCCGGATTTAGCATACAGTGGTTTTTCTACCACCCTCAACTCACTCCGCTCTTTACAGCCAGAGGGCCAAGCTTGCTATCGAGATACTTAACCCAGGGGTCCTGCGCCCGCCGGCCTGCCTGCATGATGAATAATCATGCCTCCCATTGTGCTAATTCAGATCAGCTCACCTTGAAGGAGAGAAGAGCCTATAATGCTCCTGGCACATCAATTCAGGATGAAGAGCCGTTCACTTGATGATGAGGTTACATTGATGGAAATCAGGTCAGGTGGCAATCACTTCGGATGAGTCTTGAAAACAAATTAATGAATTCTCTTGACAATCAAAAATTTTGTTCCGTCAAATGACATTTTAAGAATCATTGTTCCATTGAGGATCATTTTAATAAAGTGCTTGTTTGCTTACTAGTCTTTCGCAGCTAGTGGATGGCTGCAGCTCACACCATCTCTCAGCTGCAACAGACCTTCCTTCCGTTTGCTTTAATGTGGATTGTTTTGGCTCCAAGATGGAGTTTGATGGTAAAGTTTGACCCAAATAAATCCAGATTTAATCATCAAAAATGTCCTTTCAGACACCAGTAGGTGGTGTCACAACTATGGTCATTAGTGTTAGCCTAAAACTCAGCACTAGGATGTATCTTTGAGCACAGAACAAGTCATTTCAACACTATAATAAGTGTGGCCCAGTTTGTGCATTCATTGCAATATCCAACAGAAACAATCAATCACAGGTCACAATTAGCGGAGATGAAGCATTCATTTTATTACAGAGTCAAACAGTCTCCTGGAACAAAAACTCTGCCTCCATGCTGCCTTTTCAATTCCACAAAATCTCCGTTAATGTTTGCGCATATTTCCAAAATCTAACGTTTACGTTGTCATTTCCACGCAAATGTCCTTATTTCACCTCAGAGCCACCTCCTCTGTAACTTGATAGTTGACCGTAATACGTGTAATGAAGTTCAGGGAAGTTCAGGGGGAATTTCTCCAGACTTTTGGAAATTGACGCACACACCCTCTGGCTGCGTGTGCGAGGTGCCACATCGAAACGGAATAGCGCTATATAACCACGGAAAAATGAGCATCATGCTGCTAATCCTTCTGCAGTTGTTGGTCCTTGTGTCCTGTGCTCCTCCACGGTGTGATCCGGGATTTCGAGGTAAAGTTCTTCAGTTTTAAGCGATGAGATACTTTTATTATTATCATTATACGTGCATCCGGAACCTGCTGCAGGAATTATACACATTTCCTTGTGCAGATTGTAGTGTTATAGATTCAGAAGCTGACTTTGTGCAGTAAAACTTGTAAAAAAATGCTTCAAAAAGTAACTTTTAAAGGAACAAAACGATCTGATTAGATGTTGGCCTACTGATTGACGTGGTACTTATATTCCAGATGAAAGCATGCTTTTCAACGTCCAGGATTAAGATTTACAATATTGTCAAATATGTTGAACTTTCGTGACTTAATGATACTTTTGTAGAGGGACAGGCATTTCAGAAAGCTGCAGAGACACATCAAGCAGAGTACTTTGTAGGCCACTTCTAAAGCATTTCTAAAGAGACCACTCTGCCACCTAGTGTCTGCCGCGGTGTCAAGCTAATTCTGACATGCTGATGTGTCTTGCAGGACTGTGCAAGCCAACAGTGGAAGAAAAACGTAAGTACCCCTGGGGCCCTGGGGCTCGGAGGAAGAGTGATGTCTGGCATTAACTTTTTGTTATCCAGCTTTGCTTCACATTGCAGCAGCTGATCATCTCTCTTGATGTTTGAGCCTAAAATCACATATTTGTTTTCACACCGGTGAATGATCAGGGTCTAAATCTCCCTGATAGGTCGAGTGTTTGTACGGTTGCATCCCTGTGAGTCAATGTTTTTAACAAGAAAAAGGATGAGATCATAAGTCTCACCGGGCGTAATCTTAATGGAATCTGGTCCGAAAGCCATAAGACACATCGTGTGTATTTTTAGATGATCAATGACGGTCTGAAATATTCATATTCTAATTTCCAGAGATAATAGAAACATTTGGAGCTGGATGATTGAAGACAGCAGAGTGAGGCTCATCATTAAGTGTGTGACAGATGGAGATACACGTCTGGATCCCTGCAGAAAGATTGATAAAGTGAGATTGCTCATCAATTACTTTTAAAATGTTGCTAACGTATCAGATTTCTTCCCCCCACCATCTCAGCCAAATGCACAGATGTGTTACTGTCCTACTGCGACGACATGGCCTACACACAGACCATGTTCCCAAACATCCTCGGCCACAAGACCCGCGAAGACGCCGAGGCCGGCGCCGAGTACCTCCTCATGAGCGTCATCGAATCCCTGCTCGGGGGAGAGTGCAACCCTGAAATCCGCATGCTGGGCTGCTCTGTGTTGGCCCCACGCTGCGAGAAGGGGAAGATGCTGAAGCCCTGTCGCACCACCTGTGAGACGGTGCATAAGAGATGCAGCCACGCTTTCGAGGGGATAGAGATGGCTTGGCCCTACTTCCTGGACTGCGATCGCTTCTTTGTCAGTGAGGAAGAGGGATGTTATGACCCACTGGAGGGCCTCAGAGGTGAGAACTAATTAAAGTACATTGGTTTTGTAACCTTGGTGACCTGACCTTTGTTTTGGGTATGACTAAATATATATATTTCGTTTTTTACCCTTTGTCTTCATCAGCAAGAGAAACAATGAGAAAGTGTAGTCCTTTGAGCAGGCATCTGGTTCGCACACATGCTCATGTGGCTCCCCTCAAAATACAATCCAACTTGAATGCCTTATTTCCCCACATAAACCCTCACTTACAGTGGGTCCTGTGGCTATTGTCCTCTGTTTTTATTACCAGCCTAGCCGTACAAATGGCGCCTTAAATCACCACAGAATAGCAAATGATGTCTGACAGTATTTTCTAAAAATTCTTGAAGTCCAAAAACAGTTTCTAAAGATAAAGAAAGGTACTCTGCTGTCACTGAAAGCAGAAATCCTGTGTGAGCCATGTAAGAGCATGGACAGCAGGAACGTAAGCAGCACTGAAGGAACCTATTTGAGCATTTAATCAAATATTTTAGTATTTCTTTACAGTCAAATTTGTTCACAGCTTTAAGAGTCTTGAAATCAACCAATAAAATGAATTATCTTAACCTGTACTACTACTAAATGCAAGTGTCTCACTTTTTATTCTACTGCAAAACTTTTCCAGCCATGTTGAATTTAGTTCAGATGTCTGGCAGCAGGTTTGGACTTGATAATTGTTCCCATATTCACATTCATCTCAAACTGATTTCCTTGTTTCTGTTTTGATATCATGTGACCTCTTCCCACAGTGATCTCTCAACAATGTGTACGTAGCGTGCTACACAGCACATACACGTGTAGCAAATCAAATCAAAAAAGAGAAGAAGAGGGATATGGCTGCTGTCTCCATATACAACTGAACTCATATTAAATGGCAGAGGGTCTGTTAAACTCGCAGGCTCTTGTTTAAGAGGAAGAAGATTGAGCCTATGATAACAGTTTTACATTGTGCAAAACATTCACTTAAATCAGTAGTAGTCTCCTCGGTCATTTAAATCTGGCAGCACGAAGGTTTAATGTGTTCCATGTGGTATTGGAGCTATCATTGTTTTTTGCTAAGTGTGAATACAAAAATAAGGGCAGACATCTGCCAGTTTACCATTTTCATGTGTCAGCTTTACTGTATATCGACTTTCCACACTCTTTTTTTGGTTTCTGCAGTACATACCAGACTCTTCAAACAATCTATTTATAGCCTGCCGGCCTTGCAAGAATGTACACAGCATTTTTGTTTGATGGATCTAAAATGTGGCTAGTGACAGTTAGATCTAATAGCCCATTGATGTTTTGTCTTTACAGCAGAGCAGGATGGAGAGGCCGTTGACAACATGGAAATTCTTTACCCTGAGGAGCCCGCCACGACGATGCAGTTCACCTATCACACCAACGCTCAGATGATCGGCATCTTGAAGAAAACCGAGGAACAATGCTCCGACATAGCGAGAACCTACAGCATCGGCTGTAGCATGGAGGGCAGGGAGCTGCTCGTGATAGAGTTCTCAAACAACCCCGGCCAACATGAACTGCGTAAGTAAAGCGTGTGTAGTGTGTGTAGATAAACTACATTCTTTCTCATCATCATCATCATAAACCAGTTGCTGTAAATGTGACCCTCTGTAGTCGAGCCAGAGATAAAGTACATCGGCAACATGCACGGAAATGAAGTCCTGGGTCGCCAGCTGCTGATCTTCTTGGCTCAGTACATGTGCTCAGAGTATCAGCTGGGGAACGAACGCATCCAGACCCTCATCAACACCTCTCGCATCCATATCCTGCCCTCCATGAACCCCGACGGATACGAGTTGGCTGTTTCTGGACTCCAGGACAATAACTACAGTGATGATGAGGAGCAGGTTGGTTCTCCACCGTCACACACGTTTATCGCTGTGCAGTTTGAACCGTGTTTGTTTCCTTAAATGTCACGGTTAAACAGCATGCAGAATATACCTGAGCTGATAAGATAGTTGGATACAATGCAGCATGAGTGCAGAGCATTTTCAAAACAGGAAGCATGCATTTACATGCACATGTTTATGGAACTGTTGCAGTTCTTGTCCAGATATCTGATGAATGTCATGTAGACTGAAGTGTTGTAAATAGATATACCAGCAGTAAGCCAGTTGCTTTATGCATCATACTGTTGGAATTAGAAATCCAGATAGTCTCTTAAATCATAAATAATTAAATTAATAATATTCCTCATTGGCTAATTTTCTGAAACACCAATGTGTGACTTCCTCAGGGTCCCAGATATGATTCTTGGAACATCGGCCGGAGCAATGCTCAGAACATCGACCTGAACAGAAACTTCCCCGATTTGACATCCGTCGCTTACAGCCGACGCAGACAGCAGCGCTACCGCACCGACCACATCCCAATCCCAGACTATTACTGGTTTGGTAAGGTACAGTATGAATCCTTATCAATAAAGCTCACGAAGTCAGTGCATGATGTCTAATGGGTGACATTATTGAAGAACCGCTCTACCACTTTAAATCCAATAAACTTGATTTGTTTCATTTCTTGGTCCAAATAAGTCTTAATGCTGCAATCCAGGTTGCACCAGAGACTTACGCTGTCATGAAATGGATCCGATCCATCCCGTTCGTGCTCTCCGCTAACTTCCACGGTGGGGACCTGGTGGTGTCCTACCCCTACGATCTGTCCAAACACCCGCTGGAGCGCAACATGTTCTCCCCAACACCGGACGACAAGGTGAGCGGGCTATGAAAGTGATCATGGCCCGTATACATCCAAATAAAACATACTTATTTTCCCTGCGTCCTCAATCTTGGACATATTTAAAAAACGTAATGTTTATCTTCTCATTGTCTGTTATGAACTTCAAGGAGAGAAATAACCCTCAGGTTTTTAATTCCTCAGGTATTCAAGCTTCTTGCAAGAACATATGCAAATACCCATGAGACAATGTCCAATGAAAACGCCCGGTGTGGATCGTCTCGTGCAAACAGTCAGAAAGGAACTGTTAATGGAGCGCAGTGGTCCAGCATTACAGGTGGTGAGTTGAATAAGTGAAAATTATCCCTCAGTAACAGTGTCTTAGTGTTGATTTCTGACTCTGAAATGTAAACGAGATGTCAGATGAAGCCACTAGGGGTCGCTGTAAGACCAGTCATGATAGAAAATCAGGGAAGCGGTGAGGAGGAACCCCTGAGAGGTGGAGGGTGAAAGATCAGCACGGTTTCTCATAGATTTCTGGGTAAAGCAGTTCTGTTTTTGTCTCTCTATCAGGCATGCAAGACTTCAACTATCTTCACAGCAACTGTTTTGAGGTGACTGTGGAGCTGGGTTGTGATAAATTCCCCGCTGAAGAGGAATTGTTTACCGGCTGGGAAGAAAACCACGAGGCTTTAATCACATTTATGGAAGCGGTAAGAACATGATTATGGTTCAGTTTTTCAGCCTTCTTGTTTCTTTGTTGATATTGTGATGTTTGGTTTCGACATGCTCTGATCAAGTACCAATGTGTTGGAGCAGTCAAAGGTTAGGGAATATTAGTGGGTTGGGAAACAGCAGAACATACTGTATCAGCACAGACAATCATATCTGTCTTGTGTTGTTCCTCAGGCCCATGGAGGTATCAAAGGAATCGTTAAAGATGAGGAGGGAAACGCCGTCACAGGTGCACGAATATCAGTCAGAGGAATACGGCATGACATTACCACAGGTAATTAATATCAGCTGCACACAAGATGCACCATTTTTCACAGATGAATTAGCCAAAATGATCACAACATGACTCAATTTGTTCTATTAAGGGGCCCTCCAGCCATTTAGTATCACACTTCCATAAAGTTATGGGACTTTGACAGATAAAAGAGTGGTCAGTATTGGGGTACAAGTTGTACACTTCCAGTTTATAGCACTGGCTTTCCCCGTGATGACTGTAGAGTAAAATGAGTGGAGTGCCCCTTCAAATATGTCCCACTCCAATACAAGAATGTAAGTCCAAACACTCTGCCTCCTTCTTCCTGCCCAGCTGAAAACGGAGACTACTGGCGCCTCCTCATCCCTGGCATCCACGTCGTGACCGCCTCGGCTCCTGGCTACTCCAGAAGCGTGAAGAAAGTCCACCTGCCTCGTCACATGCAGACAGCGGGCCGGGTGGACTTTGTGCTGCAGAAAGCTGCGCTCGAGCTCGACACGCAAGAGGAGGATGACGCCGCCATCCTGTCAATGGGCACCTACGACCGCTTTGACCCGTATAATCAGTACGAGCGCTACACCCTGACGTCGGATTTGAGGCAGAACCGCGAGGAGAGGGCAGAGAAGCCCTGGTGGTGGAACTACTTTGTCCTGCCGGGAGGCCCTGCACCGACCTGGCTGCTCAAACACTATTAGAGAAGAAGAAGAATATCTATTTCGAATGTAAACACACAAAACAAGCTATCGTATAAAGAATGTGCTGCTTTTTATTGATGTTACACTGCAGACATGTGTAAAAGCTAGCTGGCTGGCCTTCATGTTAGCTTTGAGCCTTTTATCCACAAGTGCTCTATTTGGTCCCAACATTACTTCAGTTAATACAAGAATGTAAAGAACTTTTCTAACAATTTTACAGTAGAAATAAAGAACTTTTGTATCAATTATTGTATTAAATCACAATGCGAGTCCTTACAGCTGCACTTAAGCACTCTTTCACATCTTGGGAAGGCAAGTTTATTTGTTCAGCTACTTTCAAACAAAAACATTAAAACAATTATTGTGGGTAATGAAACCAGGTGGCCATTAGGGGGCAGGCTCAATCAACTTCTGGCGCAAGTTATGCAAAACCATGAGGTCTGGTTTTTCTTCCACACAGTGTACAATACAACATATGAGCCCTTAGAATGAAGCATTATATACTTGGGGTCATTATGACATTAGACATATGTCAATAAATGGTGGTCCAATCAAAGTGTTCCACAAAAAGCAAGGAAAGAAAAACGTTTTGTCTTCATCCATGTCGTAATGATTGTCTTGCTTCCTCTCAGCTTTATCTTGTGACTCCCTACTGATCTAATTACAGACTTTTAAAACCCTCCTTAGAGCAGATGCAACCTGCAAGTAAAATGTTCCTTCATGACCTGATTAATCCCAGATAATGACTGAAACTTCTGTCAAAACTGTGTTTACATATCCTCCCCCCACACACCTGAGCAGGAAAGATGTTTTGTAAATGTAAAACGTATTTAGTTGCTTCCTGCTGTGGAAAGCTAAAACATTGGGATATAATTCATGATTGTCAAGTAGAATGGGTATTTTGTGAGTCTATTAAAAACAGAGGTATAGTGTGCACCAATTCAATGCATTAGCATGAAAAAAAGAGCAAAAGCAAAGTGTATTGTGCTGCAACCAAGCCGGAGGATCTGCTTGATGGAACCGAGACGAGAAGAAGGAAGAAATAAAAGGTTAACAAGCTCAGCCAAATTCATCTCGTGCCAAGTGGACCCAATCTTGTGGACACAAGATCGCCTCAATGAAAAGTAGTACAAATTGGAGTAAAGCGTGCTCGAGCGTTGCCACCCCCAGGGTCCAGTGAAGTCCCAAATCCTATAAACAAAACAGCTCTTTCTGTAAGGTCGTGAAAGAAGCATGGGAAAAGCAAATTACCCCCGCGTTAAAGGTCGAGGAATACCATTACACAATCGCAGAGATCAGTCCGCTCCGTGAACTAGTTGACCCAACAACGAGTCAGTGAAAAAAGCACATGATTTGGCATCAAACCCGCTCAGCCACACGGCCGAGGAGAGACCTCCATCTACAGTAGAGCCAGGAAATACCCTGTTTCATATGGTTTTATTATAAAATAATTCTTGCTTATTTCTGCAAAATCATTTTTGCCATCTTAAAGGCTAGAAATAGATATTTATCTATGCATGTCTGAAGTTGCCATTGAGACTACTTCAGATGCTACATTAAGAGAAGAATACTTGAAATACCTGCAAGAGTTGCGTTTCTTTTTCTTTTTCAAACAATCAAGGTGTCATCTCTATAGTACATACAAGACGGGATTTAATGACATTTGCTGTTCATGAACATTAGTTCAAAAAAGTTTCATTGTAATTTACTCGTCAAACACTCGTCCTTATTGCCCTGCCAAAGAACTTGCGGATTCTCTTCAGCCAGCTCTCCTTAACTTCAACTGATGGACCTTCATCAGGTGACCCGTCAGCGGCCGGCGTCTCCTCAGCGGGACTGGCTGCACCATGGCTGACCAAGGGTACAGCTGAGCCAGAAGCGTCCATAACTCCAGCAGCTGCTGCTCCATCAATTGAGCGAGGCGTATTTGTAATATCATCATCACAGGAGCAGGAAGCGGCTGAATCTGCTCCATCTGTACACGGTGGGGCTGAAGCCTCGTTGTCAGAAAGAAGTTCCTTTTCTGATTCACCCGTTGAGCAGAACAGCATTTTATCGATGCACTTGTTCACACTGAATCAAAGAGGACAATCAAGGGATGAGTCAGGCCATCAGAGTGCAAATCTAACCAACCACACTGCTACCGGACACAGTAACTTACTAGCTGGTGTCCAGATTGCCCACCAGATGGGCCATTGTGATGAAGGGCTGCTGGAGAGCCTTCTCAGGAGTGATCCTCTTCTCAGGGTCCGTATGGAGAAGGGATTTCAGGAGTCTCACAAACGCTCTTTGGTCTTTCAGCTCAATGGATTCCTGCATCTCTGTGTCGAGCTGGATTTGAAACAAAGTATTCTGTTAATCTGCTTCCTCTTAGCGACACAGCAAAGTTGTATTAATGAATCATTTCCTCATGAAATGGAGCACTTACTGTTATCAGGCCATCCAGGCTTTCAAAAGACCTCTTCCTTATTTGAGGCTCAATGCCGGTGTCACACTGGTATTCCCTCTTGGTCTGCAGGAACCAAATATATGAGTCAGATACTTCTTCCTCAGTGTGCTAACCATTTCAAAGAGCTGTAGTCTAATTGGCAGACAACAGGTTAATAACGTACCTTCAGGCACCATATTGGGCTGTCAAAGTGCTGGTTCACCTTAAAGTATTTGTGGGTGTAGTAACCACCACTGAGCAGGTGGTCAGCTGGCTGGCCCAGTGTGTCAACCATGTCTCTCATCTGGAGAGAGGATGTAAAGAATCGCATCAGCCGACATCCCTACATCAAATGTGTCTGGGATAGTATGTAACATTTAAATCCAGATGCATTTGGCTACTTACAGACTGGTACTCGCAGTGTATGGAAAATGGGTGGTCGGCGAGGTACATCCACAGCAGCATGCAGCCGAGACCCCACATGTCTATGGCCTCGGAGACGGGGAGACCCAGGGTGACTTCGGGTGCCCTGTGTTTTGCGCACAAGAATCACAAGAGCTGTTAAACACAAATGCAGCACGACGCAACCTCCGATAGATCATGTTTGATCTTAAACGCACACAACTGCAGACATGTTCAAAGAGAGGAGCTCTGTAGATTGAACCTACCTGTAACCCAGAGGTTGGATTAAACACCCACGTGCATTCTCGGAGGTGTAGAACGACACACCGAAGTCTATTAGTTTCACCCTGAAGGGCTCACCAGGGTGATCTGCCAGCATTACATTGTCTGACTTCAGGTCGGAGTGAACCACACCGATGCCTTTCAGGGCGTCTAAGGCCGTCAGCAACTGCAGAGACAGAGGAGGGAATGTGGACGATTGTGCGGAAGAGACACATTCATGAGCACAGAATGTGTGTGCACAGGCATCATGCTGTTTAAATGTACAAGTTTTGAAATATCTAACTTCTTCCTATTCTGATTGAGCATATTGCCAGTACTTGTTAACAGGTATCAGAGCCGTTACCTGCTGTGCAATCGGCCGTATCTCACTGAGAGACAGCGGCTTGCAGCGTGTCTCTTTGAACAGTTGAAGAAGACTCCGGTCTAGCATCTCAAAGACCAGACAGGTTTGTCCTTTGACTTGGAAGTTTTCAAGGAACTGGGCCACGTTGGTCTTGACTGGGTCAAGAGCGGCCACTGCTTTGAGCATTGTTATCTGTGGAGGAAAGAAGAAGAATTACACAACATGGTATCAGCTGCTCATTTCATAAAATCTAAGCAAGACAATTTGTCGAAAAAAGATGATTACCAAAAAGAATGAAATGAACCTACCTCTCTTGCATTGGCTAAGCTATTCTCCGTTTTTAAGATCTTCAGGGCCACTTCCTTTGATGTGATTAAATTGACACATCTGGCTACTTTGCCAAAGGACCCTTCACCAATGAAGTCCTGAATGAGGTAGCAACCTGTGCTGCTGTGCAGTATGTCGCTCTTTTGCACCTCTGAGCTCTTCTTCTCATCCAAAATGGCTGGCAGAGAAGCAGGACGTGGAGAGGAAAGGACAGGAGAAGGTGCCAAGATCATTACACAGCACTTTTTCACAATCTTAATCTGCAGAATACTTTCAACCGTCACATCAATGTAGAGGAGTAAAAACATTTTTCTCTGAACTGTAGTGGATTAGACGTGTAGCCTAACATTTAAATACAAGCGTCCTATCAACAGTACTTAAGTAAATGCAGTTAGTTACTTCTGACCACTCTGTGGGTGTTTTCACTTCATCTTACCTGCATTGTCTGTTGTGAAACAGCTGGCTGAAGGTGAATTTAATGGCATTTTGACAAAACTAATGTTTTTTCCGAAAGTGCGTAACCTTTAACTGAGTCTTTACCAAGTCGGTTTGTAGGTAGTGAAAAGGTTTCAGCTTGAAGGTAAACTGACCATTTGACCAGCTTTATAGGATTTAGCATTCTGTGTGTCATGATGTTCCATTCTAAAGACCGTTCCATTCTAAAGACCATTCCAATGTGATGTCACATGTGTGTTAATGTATGTAAACTTTGCACTTAATATCAACGTCACATCATTTCTGTTGTGGTTTACACAAAGCAGTAATACGTTGTATTTTTATTTTGGGACCCCCACCAGTATCCTCCCATGCCACAAACTTCTCTGCTGTGTCTTTTCTCTGTGTAATTGTCAAACGGCCCTTAAATGCAAAATACATACATCACACAAAATATATATTCATGTGTATGTGCAGAGATAATTAAGTGACATGTGGCAAAGACTCTTGCAGCCACTTTCAGGTCAGAGGTCAGATGTCAGCCTGTCCCAAACGAACAACGTGTTCTGCTTTTTGTCAGTTTACTGCTGCTTTACATTCAGATGGCATGTGGCCAACAATAGGCTCCACTCTGTTGTGTGCTGAGACTATTTATCACAAACGGGTTCAATTCAGTTGCCGGCACAGTTATGGGAAAATACAATTTCTGCTTTTTAAAAAACGTTGTCATTTCAGAGGTCAGTTTTTCTTCACAATTACGTTTAATGATGGAGGGAAATTCAACTGTGCCAAAGTACTTTTACAGGTGAGGTCTGATGAGGTGTAGTTTGAAGTTTGAGCAGTTTGAAGAGGCCAGATTGGGAAATACAAATTGACCTACAGTAGAGTAACAGGCTAGTAACTGTATGTGTCAGGGGTGTTAAGAAAGTACACTTTAGCATCGCAAGTTTACTTTTGTATATAGTTTAGTGATACTGGATTGAGTCTCAAAAATACAATCTATTTTTTTATTAATAGTTGACATGATG